ATAAATAATCTGTACACTATAGATGTAAGATAAACGGCTGCATGAAGCTATAATAAACAATATGTTTGGCATCTTTTGCCTGACAGGCGTGTAAACCTGTCCCAAAATGAAGTTATTGTACAGCTTTATAGAGAGAGGCTTTCTAAAGTGTTCTTTATGGCAGCGAGGCTGAATCACTCTGCTGCCTCAGAGGTGTGGAGTGGGTGTGATGGGCTGTCTGTGATGGAGAGGGTAGGTTCAGTGACCTCCTGGCCCAAATTCTGACCAATGATGCTTCCGGCCTCGCAGAGTAGTTTGTTCATCCTGCTGGCATTTCTGGCACTGACGCTGTCAGCAGACAGCAGCAAACTAGATGGTACTCACTACCACAGAAGAAGATCTCCATCACCTTGCTGCACACATTAAAGGATATGAGCTTCATTAGAAAGTACAGTCATTCTTGATCTGTTTAAAAAATGTTCTCTCAAGTTTTGGCAGTGAGAGTAGGAATAATCAGGGATAGCTCAGTAGGTAGAGTGGTGGCCCCATGATCGGAAGGTCGGGGGTTTGACTCCACTGAACGGCTACCCTGAGGCACCCCTGAGCAAGGTACCGTCCCTACACACTGCTCCCCGGGCGCTGCATTGGTGGCTGCCCACTGCTTCACTGGGTGAATGGGTTAAATGCAGAGGAACTATTTCCCTATGGGGACTAACAAACACATACACATTATCATTCCTACATGCCTGAGTCTACTGTCTACCATGTATAGTCCAGTTTGGAGATCCTTCCCAGATGCCTTTTCCCCCCCCCCCCCCCCCCCCTCCCATCTTGGGTCAATTGTTCTCAGTAAATCACATGACAGGGTGGGGCAAGGTCTCACAGTGGGTTCACCTGAAGCCTTGGCTGATTGTGACCCACACCCGTTTTCACACCTTGGCTCGTGTGATTAGGCAGAGGATCAATAGGGGGTCCATGACCCTCTTTGAGACACTCCCGATAGGGCTTAAGAATCAGGGACTCTCCACCAGTGGCTCTTAAAACTAAAGAAGCTTCTTGGATAAGAGGTGAAACAGCTTCAATAAACTTAAAGAAGTCCAGAGACCTTTCTTTCCAAGCTCCTCAATCAATGCCTGAGTCTAAATTGTCTCCAAAAAGTCCTTTTTGCTTGTCACTGAATTACAGGTTTGGCATTGGGGTAGTTGCTGATGATAACTTAAGAGGGATGGTCGTTTTGCATAAAATTTTTTATTGGAACCCATTAACAGCAAAGCCTTCTTAAACCCTAAACCTTAATCTGACCTCCACCTACCCATTACAAATGTATCAGAATCAGAATCAGAATCAGAATGGGGTTTATTGCCAGATGTTGAGGTTTACAACATTAGGAAATTGCTGCATGTAACTACATGTTGTGTTGACACAGTCCTCTCATCCATTTCTGGCCACTCAGCAGTTTTTTAATTGACTGGAAGGAAACAGAGAGGTAAACTCCACCAACAGTTAGTGTTTTGGCAGAAAACTGCAGTGCAACAAAGAAACACCACACACAAGTAGAAATGCTGCCAATGGTGTCGGCCACTTGTGTAGGCTCTATGGATTCGACACTGAAGTTAAAGTCTCAAATGAGATCTCGGTGTTAATGAGCACATTCATTTCTTTGTATAGGTTTCCCATCATTCAGATCATGGCAGACTTAAGCACTTGAGTTGAAGGCAACTGGACTTCTTTTTTAGGTTCTTAGGGATGTTTCCCCTACTCCTCTAAAGTGTTTGATGAAGTAGCCTTTTGGATGAGAGGTTACACCTCATGTAACCTTACTGCATTTCAGATCTCCAATTGTCTACCTCTCCCACTGAAGATTTGACTAAATGCAGCTCATGTTGACTGTTGTCCAGAATGCAAAGAGTTCTGTGCTCCTAAATATTTGCCTACAGCGGCCAGTCATACACTGGCAAAACAGGATACATTGTTCTGCTTTTTCCCTCTTACTTCCTTTCCCTCATTGCCTCCATCATCTGACTGAGCAAATGAGGCACATCATGATGTCTTGAAGCCTGACTGGAGAAATGATGACTGTAGGGTCTCTACCTTACTATGTAGAGGCAACTATAGTTGTGATTTGCCACTAGATAAATAAACTGAATTGCGTGAGCATTGCCCAACAATTCTTGCTTTTGGGACCAAGGTCACCTCTCTAATTGTTTCACTCTTTCATAATTGAATGTACAGAACTTCTAGGCTCACCCAAGTAGGGGCTGACTCTGGTGGCTTATCTCTGCTACGTCTCTGCTTTTTGCAGATGATATGGTTCCTTTGGGCTTTACCTGCATTTAATAAACTTGAAAATACATGCTAATTTTAATGCAACTGGGTATATTATCACTTTAAATTTAATGGCTTTCTATTACTATCATTTTTAAATACTTTCCATTTCTATAATATTTTACTTCAAAAAGTAGGTTTTGGTTGAATTACTGCCAGTTGTGTTATTGCTTTGTATTGCTATAACTATTCATACCAGTGAGAGGAAAATGATCATTTCAGCTCAGCAGAAGTCTGAATAGAAGGGAGGGAGGTCTACAGTTTGCCTGGTAACAGCAGCTTAATTCTGGGATTGGCTTCTGCAGTGTTGATGTCAGATGTGCCTGGCAACGAGACTGGAATGCAACAGAAGGATTTAACACCCACTCAGCGTCACACTGATCTCCTAAACAGAACTGCTTTAACACTTGTTGCCTTGACACTGCAGAGTTGATTATTTAAATCGGACGATTATTTTTTCACTGTCTGCATCTTTGGTATTTAGAAAAACTCTTGGAGCCCTGCAGACAAAGATACGAATTGAATGAAAAGAGGTCCCACTCTGCTTCAAACTCCACGCATCCTTTTTCAAACCAAGTATAATATGTCGTGAAGCAGGTCGGTGCCGGTGTCATAAAAACTGCATTTGGAACCAGACACAGCCTTGTTTGTCATGTTATTGTCTTTTTACATGTGTAGTGTCATTACAATAAATTTAAATTACACACACAGTGACTGTATTTAACTGGTTGTTGCGATTTTAATGTTGTTGTTTATATTTTTCAGGTTATAAGATAAGATAAGATAACCTTTATTAGTCCCACACGTGGAAAATTTGTTTTATACTGTTGTATCTCTAATGTTTTGCTATTTTACCACTAATAGAGAAAGAGTTAAATTTGCATATTAGTACAACAGAACAAAGTAAACATGGCACCTCCGTGTTGGCTTCATCTTTCAGCTGTGGACGTTCCTGCTTTGTAAAAACACTCTGTAAGGTCTGAGGGGTGTCTTACAAAGGAAGTTCAACACAGCCGGGCTTTCTTTGTGTTAACTGGTTTAACAAAATCTCTCAGGTCACATGGCTCAAGGAACACCTTTCAGAAAAATATCCTTTGAATGCTGCTCACTCCATCGAAGACATTATCAGATGATGATAAATTGAAATCTTTAAAGAACATTAAAAATTAACAGTAAAAAGAATCAGTGTTGCAATGAAGATAAGAAATTGGTCTGTTTTCCTTCTCTCAACCGGTCGCAGCAGATGGCCCCGCCCCTCCCTGAGCCTGGTTCTGTCAGAGGTTTCTTCCTCTT